CCCCCCCCCGGAGCCTCTGGCGGGAGCGGCTGGGGAGGGTTCGGTGACCCCGCGAACCGGCCTGTGGGTCCGACCGCAGCCCGGCTGGATCCGAGGTGGATCCCGGCTGCAGCCCGATGTGTGCCCAGTTGGCTCAGCTGGAGATACCGGCCCGTGCCCAAATGGATCCCGACTGGATCGCAGCCCTTAGGGCTGGCCCAGGTGGAAAGGATGGGAGGGATCCCAACCGGATCCCAGCTAGATCCTTTTGGGATCTCCCAAGTGAGGAGGGAGCCACTGCACAGCACTGTGGGGATTCCTGTAGGATCCCGGTGCTCTGCTCCAAAGGGATCCGCTGCTTTGCTTTGGAGGATGCCAGCCCTGCCCAGCACAGCCTGGATCTCCTTGCGATCTGCCCACAGAGGGATCCATTGGGTGCTGACATCCCACAGCGAGTGCTTGCGGAGATCCTGCTGGATCCCAATCGCTTCCCAGCTGGCAGATCTGCCCGGGATCCACTTGGGACATGCAGGATCCCACCGCAATCTGTCTCAACGCTGCCAACTCCTTCCCTACCTTAGAGACTGGGCAATCTCATGGGGCTGGGACCCACCAGCAGTGGGATCAGCCCCCCCGACGGCCGCCCTCTCCCTGCAGGCATTGCCCGGGGCGCGGGGCTGGCTGCGACGCCTGGGGGAACCGCTGGGACTGCAGCCCCCCGAGCAGGAGGCGGTGCTGAGGGTGTTGGACGCGGGCTTGGAGCGGTGCCTGGCGCTGCACGCAGCCTGCATCCCCCTGCCAGGGCACAGGTATGGCGGGACGGGGTGGGAATGGGGATGGGTACAGGAACGGGAACGGAGGTGGGTTGGGGAGGACAGCGATAAGGTTGGGAACGGGGATGAGGAAGAAGGTGAGGATGGAGGTGGGTCAGGGTGCGGATGGGCCGGTGCGCTCCTCTCACCCGCATGGATAAAGACGTGTGGGTCTCCCCACCCCTTCCTCTGTGTGGACTCAGAGGCCGTCGCTGCTCCCTGGGGGCTCCCAGCAGAGCCTGCGGCCGTGGCACAGCGCCCGGTGCCGTAACCGGAGCCGTCGGGGCGGGCGGCAGCTGCTTGGCACCGGCACCGGCTCCGCCCGGCTCCGCGTGGAGGCGCGAATTCAAACGGCTCCGCAACTTGGGGCGGTGGAATAAAAAATCCCCCCTTGGATTTCTCAGTGCTTTTCCCAACCTCAGGGTGGCAGAGTGAGGGCAGAGCTCCCCCACAGCCCTTCCCCGGGGCTGCCCCGCTTTGTCCCGCTGGAGCTCTGGGGACGCACTTGCAAAATGGCTTCTGTTGCTCCTGACCTCTTGCTCACTACTTTTTTTTTTTTTTTTTTTGCTCTTTTTCTCTAATTTTTTTTTTTAGTTTTTCTTAATTTTTTTTTCCACTTCAGGAAGTTGTTTGGCCCCAGCTGAGCTTAGCCTGGTTTCTCAGCTGCACGTGGCACAACACAGGTGTCAGTGCCCATGGGGTTCCTGGTGCTGGTCCGTCTCCCCTCCGTGGCTTGTAGGAACCCTGGTGGGAGGTGGGGGGCACAGAGGAGCAGCGGTGGGGGATCCTGGCTGTGATCATCACAGCCCCTGTGCTCATGCTGGCAGGAAGCTCCCAGGCAAGGCAGGCATCGATGAGGTGATGGCAGCCGCAGTGCTCACCAGCCTTTCCAGCAGCCCACTGGGGCTCGGCCACCCCCCAGCACCTCCTGGCCCAGGTAAGAGCACACTGCGGGACGCCCCTGTCCCTGGGTGTGTGCTACAGAGCTGACCTTCCTTCTCTGCAGCAGAGCTTGGCAGTGAGATCTGGAAAGAGACACCAGCCATGTCCTTCAGCTGCAGCAGCAGCAGCAACACCAGCGGGGAATGGAGCTGGGACCCCCCCAGCGACCGCTCCACCCCCTCCACCCCCTCACCCCCACTCTCCAGCCATGATCCCAGTGCCTTCTTGCCACCAGACGATGGCCCCGAGGAACCTGACAGCACCCACTTCATGTTTGGAGAGCCCATCCCGCGGAAGAGGAAGGTGGGATGGGGACAGGAATGGGGACGGGGATGAGGTTGGGGATGACAGTGATGATGGGGTTGACAGTGAAGTTGGGGCTGGAAACGATGGTGCATTTGGGGATGAGTCTGATGATGGGGTTGAGGCTGGAGGTGGTGAGGCTGGGAATGGAGATGATTGTAAGGGTTGATGACTTGGAGCTGAAGTGCTTGGGGGGGGGGATGAGGTTGGGAGCGGGATTGGGGGTGGGATTGATGTTAGAGTTGGGGATGGGGCTGGTGGCGGGTTTGAGGATGAAGAAGGTGGTGGGGATGACAGCACTGGGGATGGGAATGGTGATGGGGATGAGGACAGGGCTGGGGTTGTTGTCCTGACCCCGCTTGCCCACAGAACTCCACCAAGGTGATGTTCAAGTGCTTGTGGAAGAGCTGCGGCAAGGTCCTCAGCAGCTCCTCAGGGATGCAGAAGCACATCCGAACCGCGCACCTGGGGTAAGCGCTGGGGCAGCACCCAGAGCCCCCAACCCTACAGCCCCCACCGTGGGGTCCACCCCCAGCCCAACCCCGCTTCCCCACAGCCGCCAAGCCGACCTGGAGCAGAGCGACGGCGAGGAGGACTTTTACTACACAGAGCTGGACGTGGACGTGGACTCGCTGACGGATGGACTCTCCAGCCTGACGCCCGTCTCGCCCACCTCCTCCGTGCCGCCCGCCTTCCCCGGCCCCGAGCTGCCGCCCTTCCCCAGCCCTGAGCCTCCTCTGGGCTCCCCCCGCAGCCCCCCGCCGCCCCCGGGCCTCTGCCACGTCCACACTGACCATGCGTACCAGGTGAGGCCGGGGTGCAGCGCGGTGCACGAGGGTGCTGTGTGCGCCCGTGGGTGCTGACGTGCTGCCGCGTCCCCAGGGCTGCCCCTCAGGGCCCACGGCTGGGGAGAAGCGGCCCCCAGGGCTACCTTTACCCGGGTTGAGGACGCCGGCGCTGCCCACCCCGACGCTGCCGAAGCCACCCGCCGTCCCCAGGTGAGTTGGTGTCACTGTTGTCGCCGTCCCCTCTGCCCTTCCATCCCTGACGCCGCAGTGACGAGGCGGTGCCCCACAGGAAGCCACGGGGGGAGGCCAAGAAGTGCCGCAAGGTGTACGGCATGGAGAACCGGGAGCTGTGGTGCACGGCGTGCCGCTGGAAGAAGGCCTGTCAGCGCTTCCTCGACTGAGCCCCGCCGCTGCCGCCGTGCCCCCCCAGCTCTCCTTCTTGCACATTTTGCACTTGAGGTGCCTTCGCGCCCCCCAGCCCGCCCCACACACACACACACACACACACACACACACACACGCTCCCCCCGGGGCTGGACTCAGGGAACAGCCCCCACGCTGTTGGGGGGAGGACTGTAGGGCTTGGGGGGGCCACGCACAGTTGGGCCTGGCCCTGCCTTCCCCCCCACCCCGAGCTTTATGCACACAGCCCCCCCACGCCAACACAGAGCTTCCCCCCCTTTCTTTATCCTCGGAAAATAAGCTAACCCTCCCCGTGCCCCCCACCCCTTGCCTGCAGCCCATATCCCTGCTGGGGGGGGGGGGGGGGGGGTGGTGCTGGGGTAAGCCGTGCCTTGGGGGTTGGGTGGGGGGAGGGGAGGGAGAAGGGTGGGTTCTGCTCCCTGTCCTCGCCTTAACGGGGGGCTGATGGGCACAACTGGGTGCCCCCCCTGCACCCCGCGGGGGTTTTTACTCTTTGTAGCGTGTTTTTCTCTCTATGTTTTGTACCTGGGGAGCAGCAGCTCCTGCCGGGGGCCGCGCTCCGGGAAGTGCCTGCAGAACGCGCCCATTTGCACTAAGCCAAACTGCACAAAGACCTTTTCTGTTTTGTTTTTGGTTTTTTTTTTTTTTTGTTTTTTCCCCCCCCCCCCCCTTTTTTTTTTTCCCCTCTCCTTTGTGTGTTTTTATTTTTTTAAATGAAATATATGAAAATTCCTATTTTTTAAATACTTCCTCCCTTCCCCCCCCCCC